TAGACCCTTCATCAGAAAGAAGGGTCTAGACCCGAAACATCAGCTTTCCTGCTCCTCTGATGCTGCTTGGCCTGCTGTTTTCATCCAGCTCTACACCTTGTTATCTCAGCTACTAGACAACCTGCTTTTGTCATATTGATTGAGAGATAAATATTGGCTAGGACACAAATGGTGACTCCCTTACTCTGCATCAGTGGTGCTGTTGGATCTTTTTATGTTGATCAAAGACTGCATGGAGCCAGTAATCTGTTTTTTGTTTAAAGTAGTCAAAGTTCAAGATCCCAGGTTCTTGCAAAGAAAATAACACCACAAGCTTCCAGGGTTTGGAAGAAAACCAACCTTTACTTTACTATGTTGAAAATACTGCTTACCAACTTCCTTCACCTCACTCTCAATTGCAGAGAACCAACCATGATTCCCAGGTTTTCCTTTCAGTCCTAACCTTTTTCCACAGCATGCAACCACCACGCCTACAGATGTTCCCCAAGCCTTAACTTAGCAGCAACACCTCTTCTCCTTTAGAACTGTCTGGTTCTAAACTGGAACTGACTTCTCTGAGCAAAAAAAAACAGATAAACTGAATCCAGAGCATCTTAAATTTTACTTATCTCCATGACAATGTAGACTGATCCAGGCTCCTTAGCATGCTCTGAATGGTGATTTTAATCTAAGTTAGTTATAACTCCTTTCGGACTGCAAGCCTCTCAAACACTACTTATTTATAACTCTCTTCTATTCAGATTATATTAGGTAAACACGGTTGCAGTCTGAACTGTCATTTGTTTTAGGTGTTCTGGCAGTCATTGAAACCCAACATTCTAATTAATTTACCTTCTTAACTATTAATCTCTTAAATCAACATAAGCCCAGCCTTTTAAGTGTAATAGACTTCAAAGTGCTTCAGTTATGTTCAGTGTATTTTCTACTTTTAAACTTTTAATTCTAAGACAAAGAAATACATATACTACAAATCAGATATCTGCAACACCATTCACCAATGTGGGCCCCCTTTAATTTCTAACAATAAACCAAGGTTGTCTCAGGCAGACTTCAGAACAGGTCACATGACAGAACAAGTCCATTTTATCCTAAAGTGGAGATAGAGTCCCAAAATACAACAATCTTATGAAACTCATAATTGGAACAGCACTACAATATATAAAGCAGATAAGAAATTAATTCGAACCAATGCTGCATCAGATAACCTCAGGGCAGACAGTTTCACTTTTTGTACAATTGAGAAAGGCCTAAACCTTAAAGAAATGCCATTGCCAAGATTGAAAAGAATAAGGAGAACTCAAGATAAACAAGGCAGCATTTGTAAAGACAAGCATTGATTTTACAAGTTGAATATGGAAGTAAATACTTAGGCTGATACAGCGTTGAAGTGTTGAGAAACAATGAACCAAACTCAGCAACTGTACCAAGACACTTGATTTCAACATAGCAGGTGTTGGGAAGAGCAGACTTAACCACTAACGTTCGTTCGGATAGGATAAACCAGTCACATACCAGGGCGACATATGATAGATGCATACTAGACACAAGACTTTAATATTAAATCAGATGCCTGCTTTAGTTCAGTGATAGCAGTTTCATATTTCATTTATCCGTTCATTCCTATGTGATTTGACTACACAATTTGTGGAGGCAACTCACTTGAAGATTGTTGCATTGTCGAAGATATGGCATTTTAGTGAATATAAAAAATTTTACGGGCTGTTTAAAGAACAGGGAGATCTTATGGAGTGCTGGAATTTCCTCAACTGGCTTTATTAAAAATAGATTATTCAGTTATTCACCATCTTTCTGTTGTTGATATTCACTGCTGTATTTGTTGGTCTATCTTAGCTCCCATGTTTTCCAACATTAAAGTGAACATTACTTGAGAAACAAACTATTTGTTGCAAAGTGCTCCAACACATCCTGAAGAATTTAAAGAGGTAATCTAATGCAAGTTTCATCTTTGTTTTTAATGATATTGATTTAACTTTCAACACAAAATGAATTAATTTTGCTTTTAAATTTAAACAAACAGAAGATAAAAGAATTGGTGCTTTATCTCACGCTTTCCATTTTTAGGACTGAAGTTTCAATTCAATTTCAGGCCGCAGATTCATGTCTCATCTCTCTCCTCACAGCATGTTTAAACATTTTCAGTCTGGTTTCAACCAAGGATTTCATAAAGCAAAATGAAAAACACTCAACACAAGTTGACACTAACAGCAATTTGGGGAAACAGAAAATTCATTCTGGTAAAATTAAGACGCACGTCAAAGGTTGGAATTGAGATGTTGCTGCAGTACAGTGAAGGAACAAGGCTTCTACACTACATTCAACAAATATTTCTTGGCTCAATACTGACATCCTTTACAGAATTACCAAATTTACAATTTTAAATATATGAATTGTCATACTTTTAGGAAAACCATACAAGGTTTTGTATGAGTTACAGTTAAGAGAAAAGCATTGCAGATGGCACAAGCTTGGAGGTGAAGTAGAAAGTTTTGGTTCTGGTGGAGCAATATTCTAATGAGGCCCTATGGTTTGTTATGCTCTTGGTTGAGACCAATAACTTGTTTTGTAAAAAAAAATCCAAACTCCCAATTATGTACGAAAAGAATGAAGCACTAAGACTCCGCAGTTAACAATGAAAGAATCCTACTACACAACAGTCAAACAAGGCAAAAACTAAATAGCAGGGTTGGGAGAGAAATCACAGGGTCTAGTGCTTCCCCTGTTTCTAGGGCACTTATTCCTGCACCCCTCCACAAGAACAAATGCCACCCCAAAAACAATCAATCAATCCACTTACACGAAAAGCACTGGCCCCTTATACCACTGTCCTGTTTTGGTGACACCTTTTTATTGCCCTTTCTCCCGATCTTGTTTTCTCACCTACTCCACTGCTGCTTTCAATGGCACAGGACACTCTGGCACTGCTCACACTCAAGTGTCATATCAACATGCTGATGTGCGCTCCCTACAGCTTTCTCTTAATCACTGGAGTTAGTCCAGACCCATCTATGGGCACTTGCAACTGCTCTATCAGGGTCAGGGCTTTATGATGGGGCTCGACCAATTGGCGCACATGTGTGCGGACAGTAGTTTCTCATTTGTTTCCCTTGAAGTCAACAATAGGCTGTACCCACAGCTTGTTGATTGTTACTCAAATACTGCTTGCCCGTCAATCTGAACCTACCTGCAACGGACTCAGGGCTAATGTTTGTTCAAAACATCTGTCCAGCAGTACGTGGAGTAAATTTTCTCTCCAAAGGCTAAGACCACTTCTGTTTTGTTTAGTAAAAGCAAAAGTTATTATTTTTGAATTGATCTTGAGCCTAGCTTCCCCACCTCTGGTGCAAGCCTCAGTATTTTGCACCTTGTGTACCTTACTCTCCTAGGCCTTGCTACATTCTATTTTAGGTGACTATCTATGTTCTACATAGGAAAATTAGCATAAATTTTCAGGAAAAATATGGATGATTATGAACTATAAATTACACATTAAATTGCAAATAAAACTAAGACAGATCTCATGAATTGGCTCGTAGTCCATTATGCTATATGTCGTCAAACCCAGTTACAACATTCTCACAAAAGTTTTCAATTCTTGAGTGATTTAACTTGATCCTCAAGTATCAGCAGCACACAACCAACTTGGATTGCACAGGCACGGATTTCACCAAAAATGGGACATGCCTACAGAGGTTGACCAAACTCTGCTTATGACAGTCTGGATGGTATGTTCGATGCAATGCTATCTTCAAGAAGAGAAAAGAGAGGTTGAGTAGATTAGGATTATTTATATTAGAAAGACGGAGGTTGAGTGGGGACCTGATGGAGGTCTACAAAATCATGAGAGGTATAGACAGGGTGGACAGCAAGAAGCTTTTTCCACCAGAGTGGGGGACTCAATTACTAGGGGTCACGATTTCAAGGTGAGAGGGGAAAAGTTTAAGGGAGATATGCGTGGAAAGTTCTTTACGCAGAGGGTGGTGGGTACCTGGAATGCGTTGCCAGAGGAGGTGGTAGAGGCGGGCACAATAGCGTCATTTAAGATGTATCTAGACAGATACATGAATGGGCAGGGAGCAGAGGGATACAGATCCTTGGAAAATAGGCAACAGGTTTAGATAGAGGATCTGGATCGGCGCAGGCTTGGAGGGCCAAAGGGCCTGTTCCTGTGCTGTAATCTTCTTTGTTCTTTTGTTCTTTGTTCTTAACAGAAACAGCTGCAGCTATACCTTTGCTTCTGGATTTAGTCTTTGTCTTCTTGATTTGCACCATTGGATTCAATATCTACTGAGCTCTGATAGCTTTTCTATGATTTCAACCAGAAGTTTTATTTGCAGTTTCAGTTTCGATCTCAGTTTCACTTCATAATTAGGGTTTGTCTTGAAAAACACTAGCTTTGAAACCATGGATTTCGTGCAGGTCCTAATGTTCATTTTGGAACTGGATATCATAGGACGGACTGCACATGAGCTTTGAAGATCAGCTCAAAGCAAAATGGGAATGTGCAGCTAAGCATAGCTGATTTCAGTTTGAGGAAGGGAAGGAATCAGGAAACAAAGATATTTCCTGTTTAAGA